CGCGGCGACGGCGTCGGGGCTGCGCTCAGCCAGACAGCCGGGGCATTTAAACGCTAAAAGGGGGAAAGGGGAAGGCCTTGGGGTCTCCCTCCTCTCTCGCACACACACTGACGTCTGAATTTTTACAGGGGCTCGAGCCTGGTGATGACGCGACGCTCCTCGAAGGGCCAGCGGAGGGAGGAGACCTGGTTAAGCAGCTGCGCCCCGGGCAGGGGCGCGCAGGCTTCCCGGCTGACGGCGGGCGCTGTGCTTTGCGAGGTTCACTGGAAATGCTCCCCCCGCAGCCAGCCGGGGAGCGGCCCGCGCCCTGCCGAGCGTCCGGACCCAGGGAATAGGTTCTCATTTGCTCTCTGCTCCTAACTTCTCACTGAACGCCAGGTTGGTCCAGATACCCCTACAAACTCAAGATTTATGGTTCTACTCAAATAGCTCAACTCACATGATGGTAGAAATAATGTTCATTTTTAAAAAAAAAATATGTCATGTCTATTGATTTCAGAGACGGAGAGGGAGAGAGAAACATGTGATTAGAGTCATTGATCCGCCGCCTCGTGCGCGCCCCCTACTGGGGATCAATCCCCAACCGAGCATGTGCCCTGACCGGAATCGAACCGCGATCTCCTGGATCACAGATCGTTCATCAACCGCTGAGCCACGCGGGCCGGGCTGTTCACTTTTATTTTTCAGTGTTTGCATTCACACAGCAATAGCTTCCTCCCCCACCCCTCAAAAATCGTATTAAAAATAAGGACCCAAATAACACCAATGGACCCGGAAAAACCATTTCACTGCTTTCTCCCATATATTCCAAGTTAGGCCACTGGGAATAAAGTAATGAAAAGATTAGTAATAAAGCAAGTTGAGTAGATGTGGTTTTTACTCTCAACCTAGGACCTCTTATGTGCCTGCATCAGGGAAGGTTCCTGCCCAGAGAAGCACAGTGAGAAAAATTCTGAAGCTGCATTTGGCCCTTAGAGGGAAAAGTATCATTACTTAGCATTCACTCAAATTAACAGTTGCTATTAAACACAGCTACCTTATCATCCTGTAAAGACTTCCCTATTTGAAAAAGTATGAAACTGTTGGTAGCACTTACTGATTTTTTTCCCCCTCAGTCTTTGATTCTGTTACAAATTAATTTGACTGAGAGTCCTAAACTCTTGAACTAAAATTTCAGCTCAATTTTTACTCCAAGAATTGGCAGGATATCTAGGAAAATGATGTTCTCAAAACTGTGCCCTGTCTCCCAATAAGATAGAGGGATTTCTTGTAGAAGAAAAACTGGTGAGAAAAGGTCCTGTGTGGTGCTGGACCCAAGTTGGGTGCTTGTTCTCAGTCTCTTTTGCTGTAGGGCCACTGACAAGGTACATAAGCATTGCTTCATTTTTTATATCCGTATGTAACGGCAATCGCTACAAGCACCTACTTAGAACACAGGCCTGTTGGGGTTATAAATGACGACAATATCTGAGAAAGTGCATCGCACTCCGTGGTAAAAAAGTCAACACAGCATCTCTGAGAGGTGGAGGAGAGCTGAGGCAGCAACAGGAGTCCAGCTGGCTGGCCTCATCTACTCTTTTAATGATGTGGCTGTTTTCTTTCAGATTCCTTCTTAATTGATGTTGGTCATCCCTTTGTTGAAAATATTATATGTACACATTTTTAAGCCCTTAATACTTTACTCCTTGTTTGGACTTAAGAGACTGACGTCTACGGGAATGGGGTTACTTGAGGAAGGGGAGGAACAATTAAATTTGTTCACTTTTCAGTTTGTTTCTGAGTCAAAAGGTCATGAAAGATTTCAAGACTTTTTACATTACACTTATTTCACTTATTGTTTTGAAATTGTATATCCGTTTGGATAAACAAAGGAGTGAATATTGACTTGTATGAATTACTTAATGAAAAGGCTGGAATTCATTGTCACTAGATAAAATTGTGAATCTCATCTTAGAGCTGTAAGAAGCTATGGGGATTTAAGTTTGACTTTTTTCCTACTTCACTTTAATTTGACTTTCTCAATTAGTAGGTGGCAGAGAGACCAACCAAGAGGGCACAGCAGTGGGCCAGGAAAGTGGTACTGATGAGAGCCGATCCGAGGCTTTGGCATTAGAGATGGCCTGAACAAACTGGCCGAGCAATTTATAGCCAGATACAGAAGGTCACCTCCCTAGATAACATCTAGGCCTCCGTTGTATTTGAGTTCCAGCCCCAGAAAAGCAGTAAAAGCAGGTGGGTGATGCCAGCCCTGGCGCTGATCAATCTGTAGAGACCATGACCCTGAAAGGGCACACCAGGAAAACTGATGACTATTCTGCTGAAACCCTCCTGAGACCTCCCCTAAGATTCCTGCCTGCAAGAGAGATAAAAGCCCACCTTTCCCTTCCTCCTGTTCTCCCCCCACAGGTACTCATCTCCTAAACTTTTAAGGACTCCATGAGACTTGCAACCAGGTGGCAATGGGCAGCAGCAGCTCATTCCAGGTTAACCTCCTGAACTTGTCTCCAAGGTCCCCTTTCCT